TTTTTCCATAGTTCTGGAGGAAAAGGTGGAAAAACTCGTTTTCCCTGGTTTTGAACAGGATTTTTTCCACAGATCCACTGGCTGGGATGTTCCAGGAGGGAAAAATGAGCTGGAAAAGCAATTTTTTCCTTTTTTTTCATGTCTTGGGTGGACGAGGGGAAAAACCCTCTGGAAAAGATAATTTCCCAAATTTTGAGTGGGTTTTTCCCATGTTTTGAGATTAAAAATAAGGTGGAAAAAAGCAATTTTTTCCTTGGATTTGAGCAGGTTTTATCCACAGGAGGCCCAGCAGGAAAAATCACCTGGAAAAGCCATTTTTTCCTGGATTTTGAGTGCAATTTTTCTATGTTTTGGGAGGAAAAATAAGGCGGAAAATTCATTTTTCCTTGATTTTGAGTGGGATTTTTCCATGGATCCGGCAGCTGAGGAATTCCTAGAAGGAAAAATTATGGAAAAGCTGTTTTTCCTTAGTTTTGAGTGAGATTTTTCCATGTTTTGGGAGGGAAAAAAATCACCTGGAGAAGCTGATTTTGCCTGGTTTTGGGCTGGCCTGGAGCTGGTCCCACCAAGGTTTGGGGTGGGAATATTTGGGAATATTTTGCAACCAAATATTTTGCAACCAAACCCAGCCAGAATTGCTCCAAATTGGGATTTTTTTCCCCAAAATTCCCTTTTTGGGATTGGTTTTTCCCCACTCCTCCCCCTGGATGGGGATGGGGGAAAATAATTTTTTTTTTTTGTTTTTTTTGAGGGGGGGAAAATCCCAAATCCTCGGCTCCGGAGCAGCTGAGAGCCGGGAATTAATTCCATTAATTGGATCCCTGTAATTAATTGGATTTCCGTTGTCCTCGGGAGCCCCGAGCTGTGGAAAACCCAGGAATGGGGGAGGGAAACTGGGAGAGGTTTGGGATCCCCCAAAATCCTCCCTAAAATCTCCTTCAGCACCCCCAATTTGGGTAAAAATCCCAGGAAAAGTTTAATTTTGATCCCAATTATCCCTTTTAATGGATCACGGAGAACTCAACCATCTTCCTGTGGATTTTTTTTTAATCCAAAAAGCAAAAAAAAAACCCAAAAAAGGGAGAAATCAGTCTAAAAAATACAAAATCAAACCCTTGCCCCTTTCTTATCCCATTTTCCCTCTTCCAGCTGCTCCCATTCCTCGGGTTCCCAGTCGGGAAAAGCCCCTTTAGTGTAATTAATTGTAACATATTCTTTTAAATAAATTGATTTATTGAGGAAATTCCGGAGGGCCGTGGCCGTGCTCCTTCCCCTGGGGGGGTTGCTCCCCCC